TTTATGGTGCAAGAAGGCGAAATACCACACTCGGATATCGAGGAGTTCAACAAAAGATAAGTCCATTGGGCTATTTCGCGAGACGACATAACTTTCTTCGTATTAGACTTAGAACGATTTAATATCTAAACCTCGTTGTTAGAAAGCATTTCAAGGTTCACCATTGGAGGCGCTTCAACTCGAGCGAGAACGATGCAGCTAGTAGGGTTAGGGACGGTGTGGTGTGGCTGAGCTTGTGGCTGCTCACTTTGCAATGATTACCCGCGACAGGGCTTCTCCTCCAACACGCATCATCCACACGGCTTCAAAATGAGAGCTAAAGAAACCTTCTTCTTGACTCATGAAGCCTTTACTCGAGAAGTACTGCGCGTCCATACCGTGGCGGCCTCTGTGGTGGCGTCCGGTGGTGCAAGCCCTGAAGCAATTTCGACATTTATGCTTTCACCAGCAATATGTGTCTAGCCTGCTTGATCTCTCGAGCACCAAGCAGTCCCATATGAGCATGCCTGCCGTGAGCTGCGCCGTGGTGCGGCTGTCAGGCCGACACCATACTAACGCCTATCGATTGGTCGAAATCCAGTTAATTTTTTCCAATCACCATCGCGGGATCTTTCAGTGCAATCTGGGAGGGCGACCAGGAACGATGGCGTCGTCCTTTGTCCTCAAGGAGAAGATCGCCGATGTCTACTTGGACCGCGCCCATGAACCCGAGATCGTCGTCTACCACCCGGTGCTTATGCTCATCCTCCTGGACGCTGCCTCATGCGCTTCCTGCAGGCGCGCGAGTCCCTCATCATCGTCGCGACTGCGTCGCTGCACGAGGTCGACCTGCGCACGGGCTGCGTCCTCGGCGCCATTCCGTTCGACAGCTGCCTTCTACATGACAAGCCCCACGTCTTTGACGACGTCGTGCCCGCGGGCCAGCACCACGTCATTGCCTCGCTCTCTCGGTACAACCTCTACGCCCATCATGCTGCTGGAGCTGCGCCGTAGCTACCTCGTGGTCTGGGACCTCCGCGAGATGACACTGTGCTGCGTCACAGAGGTGCTCAAGTCATCCACGAAGAGCCCGATCGTCGTGACGGCCGCAACGACACTCGCGGGCACAGTCTTCTACGGCCACGAAGGCAGCCAGAGCATCAAGGTGGCTTCGCCTCTCTACACCCGAGTACTCAGATAGGTAACTACATAGGTGACGACTGTCGAAGGACTCTGTAGCGGCGAAGCCTGTCAAAAGATCCCCCGGAAAGCTGCGTCGCGTGGCAGCGTCCTCTGCGCGCTGGCCTTTCATGCGCGCCATCAGCTTCTCGCCTCGGGGGGCACCGACGGTACGCGGCGCCGATTGCGATAGCCCACTATCGCACGAGCAACTAGGCATCGTGCACGTGTGGCGCGCCGGCAGCTCGGTCCACGGCGCTACCGACGACGAGTGGTCGAAGGACGAGCACAGCAAAGCCAACGGCGACGACGTAACCTGCGCCAGAAGGCAGCCATTTCGATCATTGCACTTATCACTGTGCGTAGGTTAGCCCACACGCTCTGCTCGCCACCTTCTCGACCAAGACGTCGCCCGTGCAAGCGCTTGCGTTCGATGGCCAAGGACTCTTGGCAGCTGCCTACCTCGCAGGCCAACTCGATATCTTTGACGTGCTGCGACGTGAGCCACGCGCGGTCGCCTCCCCGTACTGTCCACATTTTCTCTTCATTTTGGCAATCGTACGGCTGCGTAGAACTACGGCTGTGCCGACCGGTCTCTCGCTCTGCAGTCGCCACAGCATTCATTTCAGCGCAAGCTTGAACACGCTGGTGCTCGTGCTACTGGGGGCATCGCAAGACGTCGTGCTGCATCGCATGCACTTTGGTGACAGCATCGACTCGACGTTTGGCGTGGCGTTCGACGTCAATGCGCTCGTTGCGGCGGTCGTTCCGTGCGACATGCAGCTCGCACTCTACACGTCGTCGCCGACGGCGCGGTCGCTTGCGCTGCTCGAAGGCGCGGACGACGACATTGCGCTGTCGAACGTCGTCATGCCTCCGACGCGCACGTGGTCGATGCAGCCGCAGTTTTCGTTTCTCCAGTATTGCAGTCCCGACGACGTGCCCCGGCGCCTTCTCCACATTTCAACGGTGCCAATGACCTTGCTTTCTTTGATAGTTAGAGATATGACTGGTAGAGCGACGCTCTCAAGTTTGCCTTGAGCGCCATGGACCTCCAAACGAACGAAAAGACGGAGCTTTGTCCACTGCTCGCGACGTTTGAGGGACTGCCGCTGCAGCCGCTGCGACTCACCGTATCCCGCGACGGCGGCACGTCCGCTGTCTTTCTCTCGTCGTCGCAAGCCACTGTCATGACGCTCATCGATGTCAGCGCGCCGACGGCGGCCCCGACATACGAGGTCCGCGACGTGTGTTTCACACCAACACACTTGGTGTCGCTCATGCCGTCCGGACGAAGCGTCCGCGTCCACGGCAACTGGAAGGCCAAGGAGCCCGACGGTCTGCTGCTCAACCTTCCGACAACTGCCGCGCGGCTCTTCCCCACGCGCTGGGCCATGCCCAACTCGTATACATTGGCGCACCACCCAAACGCCTCATCTATGCTATGCTAGGGAGGCTTGCAAAGTTCTTTTCGTTGTCCAAGACGCACTCGGTCGCGAGTGTTTGCGTCTGAGGTTTGGTCGCCATTTGCACCTTGCCCAGTGGAGCCTTATATGCGGTAAATAGCGAGCACACGGTGGCATTTACGCTCGACTCGGCTTGCTTTTGGAGTGCCGAGAAGCACGAACCCATTCTTGAAGTCCAGAACGAGCCCGAGAAGGCGACGCACTTGGTACTTTGCCGTCCGCCGCCACCAACGTACCCACACTGTAGATTGCTGTGCGGACGTCCAAGCGTCTCGTCGTCCTCGATGGGTCGCTGCAAGTGATGGCGACCTTTGCGCCGCACCGTACGCAGCTGCAAGAGACGCCCACAAGCATGCTCTGGATCGGCGATGCGCTTGCCTTTGCAACCATCGGCGCCACTTTGCGCTATTGGCATCCCGCGTCGCCCCGTACGACCCACGCGCTGTGCAGCGTACCCGTGACGCCTTCTGGATCCCACGTGCGTCTCGCGGCGTTCTTGCCCGACCGCGTCGTGTACATGGTGCTTCAGGACGATGCAAAGTCGGCCACCGTGCGTCCTGACACCTTGACCACATAGATGACGACGCTCTGTCTTAGATGTACACGCGCCCGTTTGCGCCGCTCGAGGTGCTCGTGTGCACCCACAGGGACAGAGAGAACGTGCAGCGGTACATTGCGCGTCTCCTCGAGTACGGCCCGCCCCTCGTGCAAGTGAGCTGGAAGACGCTGTCGACTTTGAACAACCCGACGCTGAGCTTGCGTCTTCTCCACGACGGCAAGAAGGCAAAGGCCGGTGCCATGTACCGCGAAACGTCCCACATTGCTGCGAATACCATCGCGGGCATCTTCCTGGCTGCCCACCGCTGGCGCGACGCAGCGACCTATCTCGTTTCGGACGACCCCGCTCTCTACGTACACTGCATCTGTTACGTCAGTTGATAAATCGGTGATATTTTCTATAGGAATATGCGCTCAACCCACAAGGCGCCGAGGCGCAGCTGCCCCCGAAGCTCTCCCACGTCGCGGCGGCGCTAACGCGCATGGCGGCGACGCTGCAGTCGATGGGGCAGTTCGAGCTCGCGGCTCAGTGCCTCGACATGGCTGGCAACGACGCAGCGCTACTGAGCCTCGTATGTGCCATCTCGTTTGTTGAAAAGCTTTGACATGCGTTGTAGGGTCTCAAGTGCGGCTCGGCCGACGTCGTTGAAGCCATTCTGCGCGGGCTCAAGACAGCTCACCCGCCGGTGGTCGCCGCCGTCACCGCGTATGATGCCGCCCAGATACCCAAACACGTCAAGATGGACGTGTTCCGCCTCCTGTGCACCGAGCACTTGGTGTTGGAGCGCCGGAGTCGGCTCTTGGCGTCGCTGAGTGGTCTACGCCGGGTGCGGCTGCCACCTATCAAGATCCCGTTGCTGGCGGCGCCCGACGGATGGAAGTACTTTACGTGGAAGCGCCTCGAGCCCGAGGACCCGGTCGACTGGCTCGGGTCGTCGACCCCGCACTTTTCGTCCCAAGAGTTTGTGAAAAAGTCGCTGCAGATTGACGTCAGCGACGGCTTTGGCGAGATGCGGTCGACGCCGATGGCGAGCGCGCCGTCGTTCGGCCCGTTCTTGGACGACGAGGACAGCGTGACGGCGTACTGGCGCTTTGAGGACGCAGCGACTCTCGGCCCAAGTCGCACGACGGACGCCACGCTCCTCGACACGTCGAAGCGCGAAAACCACTTGGTCGTATCGCCCGCCATTGTCTTGGACATCTCGACCGCGCCCGTCGACAAGGGCGAAGAGAGCAAGCTCCTCCCGGTACCGCCTTTCTCTTAGCGACTACGCTCACAATACGTGACGTAGGCGTACATGCTGCACTTTCCAGCCGTTGCGCCTCTCGACGGCAGTGGCTGGCACGCGTCATGCGCAGTGCGCAAGGGCGGAAGCATGGACTTTGGCACGAGCTTTGACGAAGATCCATACCGGCGCCACCTCACGCTCGAGTGCTGGGTGCGCTATTACGCCGAGGGGCCGATCGCAGGCAGTAGTACCTCGGTCCTCGCGGCACGAAGCCCCTTCTGGTCGATAAGTATGGAGAGCAGCGGGCGCCTCTGCGTGCAGATCCACGACCGCACGCTTCCAACGGACGGTACGTTGCTGCTCAACGGCAGCTGGCAGCATCTGGCGCTGGTGCTCGATATCGTCAGCGACGACAAGGCGTCCGTGCGCGTGCTGCTTGATGGCGCCAGCGTCTTGGCCAAGGAGATTGCTGTCAAGATGACTTCGCAGAGCGACAGCAGCAGCGCGCTGCAGCTCGGACCGCGCCTCGTAGGCTTTGACATGACGGAGATAAGACTGTGGGCAACGTCGCGCTCGGTGGAGCAGATCAACGACATGAAGGAAAATTACCTTGGCATCGCCGAGACCAAGAAGCGCATCAAGGTCGCCATCCACCAGGTGCGACATCAGTATATGGCTTCGAGACATGAACACTGTCTTGTAGCGCGACTGCCAGTGCGAAAAGTGCATTGGCCGCCGCCAGAACACGCCGTTGGCCAAGCTCGCGATGGTGCAGCCGCTCGCAGCAAGCCCCGCGAGCCGCGCGCGGCGCGTCATCAAGACGCCGCAGTCGCCCGTCGCGTCGCCCAAGCGCGAAGAGACGCGGCTCAACTAAGATCTCTGCTGCACACTAGTATATTCATCACGGACGCAATACATGTTGGCTTGCACTAATCGTCGTCGGGGACCTCGGGGTTGGGCGCGTCGAGCGCCGGCGACTCGTAGTTGCTGTAGAGACCGTATTGGTACACGAGGTGGGGGATGCTGGGGCGAAAGCGGCGGAGGCGGCAACCGAGGAGACGCTGGATCATGGCTTCGTTCTCCGCTACATTGCAAGCATTTAGAGTTGCCTCTACATGTAGGTGCGCGTGGCGTACCGATGGTCGTGAGAAGGATCTTGCCGCCCGGTGCGAGGAGATGCGTCGCTGTCTCGGCGTACTTGGTCCACACGTGCTCGGTGATAAAGGGCGGGTCGATCACAACCATGTCGAAATGGCCTTGGAGGCCATCCTTCGTGAACGTCGTCGGCGCGTTATAGTCGTACTGAAGCACGCGCGGGAGGGCGTCGTCGTAGTCAAAAAGCGCGAGCTCGCTCGCTGGGCGCAGCTCCTCGACGGCGTAGTAGAGCGACGGCGTCGAGAGGAAGGCGACCGCCGCCGGGCGCTGCGCCACAATGTCGGCCGCGAGGACCTACCGCGCCGCGTGAGCCATGGGCAGGAAGCGCGTCATGAACCTCGATCGTCGACGGCGAGTACCAGTACTGGTTGAGCGCCTCCTTCTCCTTGTACGACCGGACAAACTTGCTGCTCATTTCGGCAAATCTTTGGAAATGGCCAATCCGCAATCGCCGCGACAAAAGTCAGCCACATGATTGGTTGAAATCAAACCCAACGTCCTTCAAGGCTCTAGCTCAAGCAGCTCGACAAAGCCTCTTCAGCAGACGTGCACTAACAATGTACGAGTTGATCATTGCTACTACATTGGCGATTCGACGCGGCCTGTTGGAGTCTACCAGTCCCTTCAGAGAGTTGGCTCGCACCGCAGAGGCAAGTAAAGATATGGCAAAAGACCCACAAGAACGGCCGCTTGTCGTAGATACAAAGGCTTGTTACTTCTATGGGTGGCCGGCCTCCGCTTGCGCAATACTAGTATACATGACCACCACCACATCCACCACACGACCACCACCAGTGCTCGTTGACCACGACAGTCGACTACGACGCACACTCGAGTGACGAGGTCGCAATAGCCATGTAGTGGTCAAGAGACAGTGGGGTACCTTGCATGCGTTTGATTATTACATCGACAGTGCTATCACGTGGCTACGCTTACGCAATGAGGTGCGAGAGACCGAGACCAATGGTCGAGCCGAGGACGAGACCAAAGTTGAGGAAGAAGCCCGTGAAGCTGCCCGCCACCGCCTTCTCGTGCGGCTCGACGCAGTCGTTGACAAAGATGATCGCGAGCGACCCGATGTAGCCGTTCGTGAAGCCGAGGTACAAGACAAAGAGGATCGAGAAGGCGTCGTGCGTGAAGTAGAGGCCCTTGACCGACACGAGGATGCAGGGAATCATGAGGAACCGAACTGCGACCATGCGCCAAATGTTGTCCTTGGTCAAGCCGCACCGGAACGAAATGAGGAAGCGGCCAATGCAGTCAAACACCGAGAAGAGCGTCAGTAGCAAGAGCGGCCACCACCCGGACGCTTGCAGCGCCGGAAAGTTGTAGCTCTTGAGCTCCGTCACGAGCGGCGGCCAGAGCGCGAGCGAGCACGTAAAGACGAGCGCGACTTGGATCTGGTTGTACACGCACTTGCGCAAGACGGTCCAGCGGTTCGGCGCCGGCGCTTCGACCGAGAGGAGCGTCTGGACGCCCGACTCGGCAAGCAGCGGCGATTGCTCGACGAGCGACTTGGTCGACAAGCAGCGCTTCGAGATGGGCAGCGAGAGCAAGGTAAAGTACGCAAGAATGCAGAGCGCGACCGTGACGGCGCCCGTGTAAAAGTACACGCCGCTCGAGAGTACGATCGCGTCCGCCGGAAAGATGACCTTGGTCAGGTCGCGGTACACGCTGCCGATGAGCGTGCTGAGGCCAATGCCAAACTGGAGGCTCTCCTGGGCGTACATCGGGTAGTGGTTGGCGAGCGAAATGACGCAGCTGTCGAGGAAGGCCGTGACAATGGCCGCAAACGCTGTCGCGCCAAGCACCGCCCACATGTTGGCGTTCTCGGTCGAGAGGAAATGGTACGACGCCGGCACAAAGACGAGCACGACAAGCTGGCCGGCAAACCCGCCAACGACGCGGCCCGTGATCCACGGCGACGAGCCAAACGAGACGAGGAGGCCGAGCATGAGCAAGTTGGTGTACATGAAGGTGCACGTGATGAGAAACTCAATGTTGAAGTCGGGGAAGAGATGGCTCCAGTAGTCGATGGGCTGCGTCAGCGCCGAGAACGGAAAGAGGTACCCAATGCCAATGAGCGAGAAGAGGACGTTGACGAGGAACCGCTCGCGCTTGGCGGCTGTCGGCATCGCAATGTGGATCTCGGTCATGCTGCTCGCGTCGGCGCCAATTCCAAAATGACAAGCTTCCACTTTGATGGCCTTCAATGCGACATGCCCCGGGATGATGCAACACTTTTTATTTAATAAAACTAAACCCTTCCGAGCCCATACAAACACGACGTTATGATGGTGGGAAATCGAAATAAATGGGGCCACCGATCGCGCCCCGGTGTACGTACGCAAGCTGAGCCGCGAATTTGCATGCGGCGGCCGCCACCACCAGCTGCGACCACCTGGCAGCTTCGATCCAAGGCGTGCATGATACTGCTCCCTCGACTGGACCGAGCACGCAACGTTCTACTGTTCGTGTCAAGCGTTCTCGCCTGGTAAGATGGCGAGATCACCAGACGAGAAACGGTCGGCAATGGATGACTGACGCCAGCCAAGCAACCCTGTGCGCTGCTTGGTGGCATACGTATACCCCACCACCGTGCAAGCAACTTGAAGCTCCGCTGCGGGCACATGGTGGGCTCAAGCATCGGCGCGCATCCACGTCGTTCTTCGAGGCGCCTCGGAGCCACTCACGCGACCATACTTGGCTCGGCAAACATGCAGATTCCGCGCCCAGTCCGTTGAAGCCAGGTGACAAGACGCCCCGACGGCTGGCACTGGGTGCGTGGCTGTGTGCTCGTGTCGCCCGTTCCAGCCACTCGTTGCGTCATGACGCACAACGAACCGCCACGTGTGCCAGCGAAACGAAGCGACGGCCCTGCTGTGGGTCTGAGATGGCGAACGAGGACGCGCCGAGATGGCGGACGAGGTGATGTTGTTGGGATGCCATCTGCAAGACCACTTCAACAAGGGAACCCATGCCCTTTCTGGATACCGCACGTGCATTGGTCAAAAGCAGGTGGTATTTCACCCAATCAGGCGCGGCGGAAGATCGCATTTTCGCAGCGATGGCGACTCGAAGCGACCTCGACGAGATGGAAGCCGACGCGCTGCCGTCGGCGTTGGCCGCGATGGCCGAGTGCGTCAAGTACACGAGCGGCCTCGCTGCGTTCTACGAAGCGTCATTCGACGGTGCCAAGGCTGTCCACGCAAGCCAGACGAAGGAGGGCGTCGCCAGCCTCCAGGAAGCGCTAGCGCTTGTCACATCCAACCTCACCAACATGTCGTCCACGCTCACGGCCTACATGGATTGTCAGGTTGGTCACCAATATGCTATGTTCGCTCATCATTACCGTTGAACTGCGCAGTGCGATGAGCTCGACCGTGTCCACATCAAGGTCGACGCGCTCAAGCTGGTGAAATGCGCGTCGCATAGCGCCATTGGACTCATGGTCGAGTGTAGAGGCTTGCAGAAGCCAAGGCGGCGACACAGCGTCCTGTCATCGAGGCCACAAGGGCCCAGCACCGTGCCAAGACACGGGCAACACCACCACCTTCTTCGAGTCAACATGTGGCAGGTGGTGCATGCTTTGCGCCGTGACACGTACAAGCGTGCTATCGTAGGCTCCGATCGATCGCCCGAAACACAGCTGCCATACCAGTATGGGTCGATTCAAGCGGGATTACAAGCCATCAAGATCGCCGCTCAATCACAAGTCCACGCCGGTACACTCTTGCTACTCCTGCAACAATGAACGCGATCGCTTTTGGATGGCAGAACGCGACCAGCTCAAGCTGCGCACGCTTCCATGCCAAGCCAACGACATCGAACACATAGCGACTGATACAACGACAGACCCCGTTGTTGACGCGGATACGCTCAAGAGCACTTCTTTGTCTGCACTCCGCCTCTCAGCTCTTCAAAAGGCCTTCGGACCCGAGGCAACGGCGACGCACTCTTAACAAACCATCCACACGGTTCTTGCAGTTATACTTCGTCATGGGCCTTAGCAGGTAGTATCGTGGTAGACGCCTGGCAGCTAATCGGCACAGAGGCATCGTCGTTGCTTGCGTGGATCGCTGCAGGGCGTGAGCGTGGACAGCAGCATGCGCAGGCTGACGTGGTCGCGCGCTGCCGGTCGGGTTGGCGGCAGTAGTAGCACGTCAGGAGGCGGCAGAGGGCCACAAACGGGCAGGTGACGACGACAGCAATGAGCGCGCCCACGTAGATGAGCAGCAGCTGGGCGTAGCTCTGGATCGGGACGCGGTCGGTCGATGGCATGGCACGCGTTGGCGTTTCACAGCAACCGGATGCGTATTTCACACGCCTTTTCACACTTATTTTTCACGTGTTCATGTCGACTATCTTTCACACTTGTTTCTTCTCCCTTGTGAATTGCACGGCATCGGAAATAGGGAGGCGTGGGTTTCACGCGTGGGAAACCCTGTTTCCCACGGCCTTCGATAAAGTTGTTCTTTCCTCGAAGATGATGCAAGCGCCGCCGCTGCTGCCGCCGGTCCTCACGCGGCTCATGCGCTTCACGGAAGGTGACTTGGTCAAGACGCCGTTCGGCGATGGGACCTTCCAGCGCAAGCTCACGTACGCTTCATGCGGCCGTCCGCGTCTCCATACCTTTTGGCAATAGACAAGCGCCAGGCCGCCACGTTTACGTCGTTGCGCTCAAACGCGGTGGCATCTTGTACTCGCAGGTACGACACACGATACGCCGACGCATGCGTATGCTGTCACCTAGACGTGCTGGATGATGCCACGCCTGCCGACGCTGTCGGGCAACGAGATGCCCCATGGCGTCCACATCGAGACGCGCTCGTCCGGCGCCCGCGGAAGCATTCTGCAGTACCGGTACGACACGTGCATAGCTGCTCATCACTTTAAACGGTTTTGCAGCGTCGCCGAGAAGAGCTACGACGTGGCTTTGGAGGACGGAACGACCGCGACGTTTGCCGTACCTCGCCCGGACGACCGCGCTGGCCTCACCACACTTGCAATTCGTAGGCTGCGGACCTGCGCTTGGCGTGCCGAACGCGGTGCCAAACGCAGTTTGGCCTCGGCACCGTCGTCGCCTATCGGTAACTTCGTTCCTGTGCGATACGCCGTATACAACGGTGCTTGGTAGCGCGGCCAGCGACAGCTACGTCGTCCAGCTCGATGCGAACGCGACCGCCTACATTCAAGTCGTCTTCTTCAGCTTGCTTCGACTTGCATGCTGATGCCGAACATGCGTAGGCGGCGGACGTGGCGGCGCTCGACTTGCGCTTGCTCGAGAAGATCCCCAAGCCGTTCAGCGCCGCCCAAGTCGTCGCCGAGTTCAACGGTCGTGTGTCGCAAGAGCAGGCCGAGGCCATCAGCGCTGCTGGGGAGAACGCCTACTTGACGCTGCGCGCGTACTGCGAGAAGAACGCCGGCGCGCTCACGTCGATTTCGACGACGTTTACGTACGGCCGCGAGTACTCGGAGGCGCTGGCGTCGTGCGTCAACCCCGAGATCCAAGACGCTGCCGGTCGTGTCCGAGCGGCCGGCGAGCGCGAGCTGGAGAAGCTCACAAAGCTCACCGAGTTGGTCAAGCACCGCATCGACGACCAGATGACGAGCAACGCCGAGCTCGCCGCTGTGCGTTCGTGCCTCCTTGGCATCTTTAGCTAACGTAGTGTAGCTCACGGAACACTCGAAGAAGATTCTCCAAGGCATTGGCAACAGCATCGAGATGCGCCGAGTCGCCGACGAGCTCAACAGGCAGCTCCAAGCAAGCGCCTCGGTGCGTCTCTTGTTCGATGACATGCGCAAATGAGCGACGCTAGAGCGACGACGGCCGCGCGCTCATCGAGCAATTCAAGGAACTGCTCCAGGCGCGCGTCGAGCAGCAGCGGCGGCGCCTCGAGCTCCTCGAGCCCACCACGCTGCTCGACAACCTCCAAGGCACCCTGTCGCCACGCGGCCTCCAAGTACACTCGTCCCTGTAGGCGTTGGACCTATGTTGACTGTAGACCAAAGCGGCAGCCTTTGTCCAGCACGTTTCGGGGAGCATGGCGACATTGGACCCGCTCGAGCTGCTCGCGCAAGTCGAAGAGCTCTTACCCAACGTGTCGAGAAGGGCAGCAGGTCTCTTGGAGGACGGCGAGGACCTCCTCGTGCGGCTTCAAAGCAGCAAGCAGGGCCAGAAGCTGCTCGAGAAGGCCAAGGAGCTCGCGCACGTCTCGGACGACCCGGATGCGATCCGCGACAAGGTCACGCAAGCCGTCGCCAACGTGCGCGTCGACGTACTGTGACACGCTCTTCGTTGGGCGTTTGCTTAAAACATTGAAAGTAGGATCTCGCCAAGTGGGGGCGCAACCTCGCGGTGGACAAGGCCGCGCGGCAAGCGTTCGTCGACCAGGTCAAGGACCACTGCTTGGACTTTCTCATGTCGGTGCTGCCGACGATCGAAGTGCCGCCCATCGTGTACGTCCATGACGCCAAGAGAGCTCGCTGCTGACGTCTGCGAATGTACTAGCGGCACGAAGGACGAGATCGACTACTCGATCTCCGTCCTCGACCTCTCCAACTTTCACGTGCCAAAGGAGAAGGTTGTCGTCAAGCTCGGCACGGCCGCCGACGACGAAGTACGCGACAGAGGATATGCAATAGGATCTTAGCGGGCGCGTCGTAGGTGCTGACGATGCGCGCGTCGAGCATCTCTTCACTGATTCCGGGCCTGCAATGGACGTTTGCCCAAAAGTATTTTCCGTATCTCAATGGCGGTGGCGCGGCCGACGCGTCCGTCAACGGCGGGTGCATCTCGCTCGGCTTTCGGGTTGAATTTTGCATTTATCAGCGTTTTTGAGATTGGTTTGCTCAAAACCATGTTGTAGGCAGAGAAAGTGCTCTCGAAAGAGACGGGCGAGTACGAACCGACGTTGGCTGTCTCGTCGATTGAGATTGAGATCAAAGAAGAGCTCAAACTCACGGTGCAAGGCAGCTGGTTCTCGGCCGTCTACAACGTGCTCGCGACGCTTTTCAAGGAGCTCATTCGCGATTACATTGCGTCGACGCTCGAAGCGAGCCTCATTGAGCACGTCGTGACGCTCGTGAGTGCGCTCAACAAGCACATCAAGGGCTACTGGCCGCTGCTGCTCCAAGTGCTGCACGTGACGGTCGACCAACTTCCGGTGGCGAGTGCGTGGCGCGGCGCCAAGCCGCTGCCGCCGCCGCTGCCGCATGAAGACGACATTGAGTTTGGCCTGACCAACGTCCCGCTGGTTCTCACCAAGCGTATGTACGCGCCGGACTGCACTTATTCCAACGGCGGTTGTAGGCATACGAACCCGCATGGCTACGGTCACCGGCGTCACGGTCCCACCCACCGCGTCGACAACAGACCGCGACGCGCTATTGAGTGTACCTTTGCACTCGACGCTCGTCGGCATCAACGGCCTCTCGTGTGCCAAACTCACGGCGAGCGAAGTCAAGACGCTGCTGACGACGCTGCCGGCGCCAGTCGTCCTGCGATTTGCCTCTCCGTCGCCAGACGACGCCTTTGCCCAAGTGGCACCGCGCCGCAAGCTCCGGACGTACGACGTCGAGTTTGGTCCAGGGTCCTTTGGCCTCAAGCTGCGCGCACGGCCGCTGGTACGTTGCCGGATGCATTCTGCGTCTTATGCCTGACGTAGGCGCCGCTCGGTGTCATTGTCGCGGGTTTCATTCCGGACCGCACCAAGGACGAGACCAAGGCCATGGGTGCGGGCGAGCTCAGCGGCCAGATTCGCCCGGGCAACCTGTTGCTCAAGGCCAATGGCTGGGACTGCCGCGACAAGGAGTTCAGCGAGGTGCACAGGAGCCCTCATGCAAGAAATGTCATAGTGCGTGTTGTAGGTCATGGAGCATCTCAAGACGCTGCCGCGGCCCGTGACGTTATCGTTCTCGACCAGTCCCGACGGCATCGTGACGCTCACCGAGTGGCCGCCGCTCCTCGAGCTCGACAGTCGCGGCGATCATGTGATCGTGTCGGGGTTCACGCGGCTGCCGTCCATGGCACGCAACTCCAAGCAAGTCGCGGAGGGCGACACGCTCGTCTCGATCAACGGCAAGGCGGTCGCCAAGCTTCCGTACGACCGCATCATGACGCTTCTGAAAGAGGCGATGGACGCGCCGCCCTTTGACGTGGTGTTCGGCAAGAAGAGCGAGAAGAAGACGACGAGTGTGCACTTTGCCCATGGGCCCATGGGCATTCTCTTTGGCTCGGACCGGGTACGCCCACTATCTGAATACCTCTGGTGCTAAGCGATACATAGGACGGCAGTGTGTTTGTGAAAAAGTTCATTCCGGGGCTTGGGCCCGCAGAGCGGAGCGGACTCGTTCACAAAGGGTTTGTGCTGCTTCAAGTGGGCGGCAAGACGGTGTCCGACGTCGACCACGCGCAGTCGCTCTTGGCGAGTGCGACGCCACCCTACTCGCTCACCGTGCGCGACCTCGAGATGGAAGCCAGCATTGCGCAATTGTACTAACACTGCTATGAGAGCTACTATACAATGAGTGACGGGACTCGGTCGAGGTTAGGGTATGCCGGTTCGCCGATAGCGTCTGCGGGTGTTGCATCCGTCTTGCCGCAATGTTACTGCAGCGACAAGCGATCTTGATCGTGGAGGATACAGTCCACTCCGCACTCGCTGCCAGGATCAGACTACTAGGGCCTTCGTGGTCTCGCATGGTGTCCGACCACGCTCGCTGGTTGCACAATCGACTACCTCCACTATCAGTGTCCAGCTTCAGTGTACTTGTAGCCATTCTGTACGTCCAAAGGTTGCGAGGCGAGTACACGGTACGCCGAGGTGTCGCCCTGTCGAGTTTCTGCAGAGCGTGGAACGCAGCGAGCGACGGCGATGACGCCAACCGCAGTATGGGATCATTACACCGCGTCCAGTTTCTCAGCGTCGGTCGCGCTTATATAACGCACGCCTTGCCCGACAACAGTGTCGACGCATTCCCGGATGATCCAGAGCCCAACACGGTTTCAGTAGCATCGAATGATCAGCGACCTACACTACAAGTGGCGCGACTGCCAGAGAGCTGCCAGAGCTGTGTGCGAACGACCTACACTGGCCCGAGCTACCGCATTTATGGCGCTAGTACCCATGCATTTCATTACACCAGCGCACGCGAGCCGTACTGGCTGCTTGGCGCCAAATCCGCAAACCCACGTGGCGTATCTTGGTCGTGACATGCGTCGCCATCGCATACTGAATTCCATACAAAAGCATACACGCCATGCTATGGGACGCTTACCCCACGTCCGTGACGTTCATTCGACCCCTATAGGATCTATTGCGCACGTCCATGTTCGCTTCTGTTATTGGTGCTTTCTCGCCATGTACTCGTACGTGATTGGTTCTTGGGTCGGTGCGAACATATGATTTGTCGACGACCAAACGTACGGTCTCCAGGAGGTCCTGTGTCCCATACGCCAATTCAGCAAACACTTGACTTTTGTATGGCGACGTACGCGATTCGCTTCGAATGTCGAGAAATCGAACGTCTGCGACATGCCGCTCGTCGTGCGGTTGCGTCGATTTGAATGTTTGAATAAAAATACCTTGCTGTTTGTATGCTTTGTGGCACGACGACCAGAATGAAATGGCGCGGATGTGCTGGCAGGTTCCGCCGTGCCAGCTTGGCGCTGTCCGAGCTGGCAGAGACGCCACGTACCTATATTAGAACTGAGTCGCTCATTCTGCGATTCGCCTCCTGACGATGAAGCTATCGATTGCTACAGCGAGCCTCCTCGCGTCGGCCGCGCTTGCCGCCGAGTTCCGCTTCACCAACAAGTGCGACTACACGATCAACCTCCATGCTGGTGGCAGCGTCTTTGTGTGCGATATCCCGTCGGGCGAGACGCGCAACAACAACTGCGGTGCGACCTTGGGCTCGCACGGCCTGTTCAAGCACACGGCCGCCAACGATGTCAACCGTACGTCATTGCATCGTATGCTTGGTGGCTCATGAATGGATGTAGTGCTCGAGTACTCGCTCACCAACACGAATGGCTTCAACAACGTGTGGTACGACATCAGCAACATCCCGCCGGGCCCTGGCAACTGCAAGAGCTACGACGACTGCAAGGCCTTTACGGGCAAGAAGGGCTACAACGTGCCCATGAGCATCCATCCGGTGAACAACAACAACGGCAAAAACTGCCGCGACCTCGTCGTCACCAAGCCCGACTCGCCTGTCGCGTACCTCTTCCCGACCGACGACGGCAAGATGGCCGACTGCAAGATCGACGAAGTCTTTGACGTGACGTTCTGCCCCGGTGGCAACCCTGGCCCGGCGCCGTCGCCCAGCGTGCAGCCCACGCCTGCTCCCACCCAGGCCCCCACCCAGGCTCCTACCCAGGCTCCTACCAAGGCTCCTACCCAGGCTCCTACACAGGCTCCTACCCAGGCTCCTACACAGGCCCCTACACAGGCTCCCACTCAGGCTCCTACGCAAGCTCCTACGCAGGCCCCGACCCAGGCGCCGTCGCCCAGCTCGGATGGACCGACGTATGCTCCGTCGCCCAGCTCGGCCTCGCCCACGGAAGCGCCTGACGCCCCGACGGCGTCTCCCGATGCGCCGACGGCCAAGCCGGACGTCCAGCCCGATGTGATCCCGGACGGGCAGGTGGGTGCGTGGAAGCAGTGCGGCGGCAAGGGCTACTCTGGCTCGTCGACGTGTACGGACGGCTACACGTGCCAAGGCGTGAACGAGTGGTTCTCGCTCTGCCACCCGCTGCCGCCCAAGGAAGGCGAGCTCGCGACGTGGGCGCAATGCGGCGGGAAGGGCTACACCGGTATCACCAAGTGCCAGGCGCGCGACGAATGCTGGACCAAGGACGAGCACTTCTCGCAGTGCATCCCGTCGTCCACCAAGTCGACGTAACTTCAACAACATCCCAACGCTCAATATAGACATCAATTAACCCTATAAACTTCTAGTTCTAGTACTCGATGTCTCATCGTGTGCACATGATACAAGCTCCACGGAAGAGAAACGCACTGTCGGGGGCGGCTCGGCAAAAGCGCGCTGCTGATATAGCTGCATGCGATCTCCTCTCGGCTCGTCGCTCCATTCGCTCTTAACACAGCGCACCTCAAAGCTGGTTCACCGGGATAAGCGATCGGAAGCATAATCTGAGTTGCTGAGATCTGCGACGACGTGAGTAGCGCCCTCGACCACTTACACTGTACAGGAAGGTGCACTGTACTGGACAACGGTGGAGCTTGGGCGAATTTGCGCATGCTACTAGGAGCTGCTCGGCCGTTGTATCGAGATCGAGCGTCTGGCCAGTCGCCACAAGCTCGTTCCACGTCGACACCCAACGCCTGGTCGTGTCGCCTCGTTGGCCGCTCGTCCAAGCATGCACCGTCCTACACTGCAGCACGATCCGCGCAGTTCACAACCGCAGTCGACTCGTCCGCCATGTCCTCAACGAGTAGCAAAGGAAGGCGCTGTCGTCATTCCTCCGGCCTCGAAACGCCATCATAATCGAACGTGGTCTGGTGGGAACAGGACGTGATGGGTTGCCCCATCCTACTCTATCCTGCTCCTTGTCCTTCCCAGTCCCAAACGGCAAGGACGCGTGCTCGTGCTACCTGAGATGTCTTGTCCTCTTGGTTATCTTCGCCATCATCAGCTACCATCCATATCCACATCGTTCGATATGGAAGGCCGTGCTGAGATCTCGACGACCGACTTCCCAAGCTCTGCACAGCGCACGACACCCAATGATCGCTTCGATGCACACGCGTTCCGCGGTTCAAGCTGCTCTCGGTGCGTCCCAGTCGTCACGGGCGCAGAGTGGGACATGTGCGTTGGCGCCACCGCGCCACGTGGTGTTCCTATCACTGCGCCGACCGCCTTGCTACGGTGGCCACAATTCGAATTTCCAACTCGCTGACATGCTACGCCTCTCGACCATCGCGCTCGCCGCCGCCGCCGTCTCGGGCTTTGAGATGACGTTCACCAACAAGTGCTCGTACACGATCAACTTGAAGGCGGCGTTCGGCCGCTACGTCTGCGATATTGCGCCGGGCGCGGCCAACACGTGCACGCAGTACATTGGCGCCGGCCAGCAAGGCCTCTTCAAGCACACGGAGAAGGACGACGTCAACCTCGTCGAGTACTCGACCATCAACAGCAACGGCATGAACTTTGTGTGGTACGACGTGAGCAACATCCCGCCGATGCCGGGCAACTGCAACAGCTACCAGAACTGCAAGGACGTCACGGGCAAGAGCGGCTTCAACGTGCCCGTGTACGTGACGCCCACCACCAACGCGGGCCAGGGCTCATGCACCGAGCTCCGCGTCACCAAGGCCGACTCGGGTGACGCCTACTTGTTCCCGGCCGACAACACCAAGACGCACGCGTGCCCGATGGACACCAAGTTCTCGGTCACGTTCTGCCCCGAGGGCGGCAGCGGCGGCAACCCGAGCGCGAGCTTTCAAAAGTACGACAACACGGACTTCTGGGGCAACGACATTGGCCGGTTCCAGGTGTGGGGCGACGCCAACGCCAAGGCGAGTGCGTGCGCCAGCGGCTGCAAGGGCAACGACCAGTGCGTCGGCTTCTCGGTGAGCGGCGACTTTTGCTACATGAAGAACGCGATCGCCAACAAGTTTGGGAGCGGCGGCGTCATCGGCGGCATCATGAACGGCAACGGCAAGTGCGCGGCGACGCAGTGGAACACGGACTTTTACGGCAACGACATTGACCGCAAGCAGGTCTGGGGCAACGCCGGCGAGCGCTCGGGCCAGTGCTGCAACTATTGCAACGGCGTCGGCAACTGCGCCGCCTACACGGTCAACGGCGACTGGTGCTACCTCAAGTCGCAGGTCGGTTCTGCGTCGTGGAGCGGTAGCGCCTACTCGGGCCGCCGTGCATCGGCGTAATTTAACCTAAACACATGTTGACTGAATACACGTTCGTCGAGTGCGACACGCGACTAGGGCTAGGTAAAACCCGCGCTCTGCAACTGTAATCAACGACACCAGCTGCAAAAATGTATTTGTACAGACGGACAAGTTGTCGTCGTAGACATGCAAACAGTGCTAGTGGGTCGCGTCTTACTGGCTCTGCGGCCTAAAAGTTAGGCGCGGAGACGGCCGCCGGGGCAGTAGACGACGTTGAAGACTTCGTCGGGACGGCAGTCGGCGTTCTTGCCCGTGTCGCCAGGAAACAAGAACGCGTCCGGTGCGTCCGGGCGCGTCACGTACAGCTTGCGGCAGTTGCGGCCGTTGGCAAAACGCGTCGGAGTCACTTCGATGGGGACGTTGAAGCCCTTCTTGCCGCCCGTGTGCTGCTTGCAGTCGTTGTAGCTCGTGCAGTGGTCTGGCTACAACGCACATTGATACGATCGGAGAGGCGTGAAGAACCCTACCCCCGGCGGGATGTTGCTGATGTCATACCACACGCCGTAGTTATCGACCGAGTACTCGAACACTACGGACCATGAGATCGATGGGAGATGGAAGCAGATGCGTACGGTTGGCTTCGTCGGACTCCGTGTGCTTGAAGAGTCTCGAGGGGGAACCGGGACCGGCGTTGGTGCCGCAGCCGTCGTTGCGCGTTTTGCCCGGCGGGATATCGCAGTAGAAGGACCCGCCGGGGCCGCGGAGCTGGATGGTGTAGCTGCAGCGGTTGG